ATAGGTCACACACCCATTTCATCCTACTATGTCTGATCAGTCCATGTCCATCTGTTGGCCTGGTATAAATGTTAATAGTATTCCCTTTCACTCTCCAAAGTGTCTTAAGTTTGGACTACAAATAGTTTCTCTACTTCTAGGAGACCCCTGATGATTTTTAGGGAAGACTTCATTTGGTGGATGTTGAAGGGTAAATGCCAAACTGGAGAGAGGAGCAAAAAGACTGGGATGTGATAGGCAGAATAATGATCCCCCTAAGATGGCCTTGTTTTAATCCCTGGTTGTTACCCCGCATAGCTAAAGGAAAGGTGATTAAGTAGGTTGAAGTAGGAAGATTAGCCTGGATTATCCAGTTGAGCCCAATCTAATTACATGGATCCTTAAAATTGGAGAAACTTTCCTGGCAAAGTTATTAGAGCAGTGGTTCTCAACCTTCTGGCCCTTTAAATACAGTTCCTCATGTTGTGACCCAACCATAAAATTATTTTCGTTGCTACTTCATAACTGTAATGTTGCTACTGTTATGAATCGTAATGTAAGTATCTGATATGCAGGATGGTCTTAGGCGACCCCTGTGAAAGGGTCGTTCGACCGCCAAAGGGGTCTCGACCCACAGGTTGAGAACCGCTGAGTCAGAGGAAGAAGGGACTATAAAAGAATGCTCAGAGAGATGCAACATTTCGGACTTTGAAGATGGAATAAAGGGATCATAAGGAATGTGGGCAGCCTCTAGTGGCTCAAAAAAGCAAGGAAACAGATTCTCCCCTAGAGCCTCCAGAAAGGAATCCAGCTCTGCCAACATCGACAGAACTGTAAATTTGTATTGTTTGAAGCCATTAATTGTGTGGTAATTTGTTATAGCAGTAATAGGAAACGAATACATGGAATTGACAGCATTTCTAATGAACCTTGAAGGGTTCAATAAGTCATCCATTCATTTAACAAATATTTCAGACCTAATACATCCCTGAGCCAATGGTAAATAAGATGAACTTCTCAAGGATGACATGAACTATTTAACAAGCACAGGGTAGTAAACCAGGATATGAAAACATGGACGAAGGATATCCCAGGTTGAAGGGATGGCATGGGTGAAGGTTCAGGCAGGGGTTTGCAAGTATATAGATTAAGGCTGTAAATAGCCAGTAGTACAGTGTGGCTGGACCATAAAATGAATGGGAGAGAAGAAATAGAAGTGCAGTTTGGAAGCAAGTGGTAAAGGGCCTAGAATGCCAAACTAAGGGTTTGGACTTTATCCTTCAAGCAATGGGAAGATACTGAAAGTTGTAAAGCAGGGAAGGGGACATAACCACATGTGTGTTTTACAGAGATACCTCTGCTATACCACTGGGAAAGAAACCAAATTTGGTTTTGCTCATTATGTACGTACTTATCCATCAGAAGAGGCTAGCTTATGCTGTGGTAACCAACAATCCCAAAAGTCTATGCCTTAAGACAAAAGAAGTTTCTCTTTCCCATGCTACATGTCCATCCTGGGTCAACATGGGGGATCTGCTCATTTTTTTTCTCTGAATATAATACTTTAATGTATATATTTGAAAGTGCTCGATAGCATAACAATTTTAAGGCCAAAGAGAAAGAACATAGCAAGAAGCTATTTAAGCTATTTTTGTGACCATCTAGCTCAATATGTTAGTTGGATCTTTGAGAGTTTTCATGTGAACGCACAGAAGTTCATATTCTACATATGCCTGTGTTTGAACAAAAGATAACCAATTTCCCCTTAAGCCAGAACATGGAGTTGGGTTTATTAACTGAACCAAGTGCCATGGGAATGGGAGAAGTTAGGCCAGAGAGCAGTGACTAGTGCCAGAGGTCAAGAACATATTACTGTACTGGCTTTCTTGGCTTCAAAGAGTACTAAGAAGGCATTAGAAGTGCCAGGGCCTATACGACAGCCAAGAGAAGCTGGTAGAAGAGAGGGGTGCTAAGATTGTTCTTGGACGTGAAGAGGGAAAGGGATGGCACATTCTCCAAATGACCTCTATTTTCACACTGGTGAAGCTGACTCTGTACTCAGCACTCATCAGCAAACTGTGGTCTCAGAGTTTTTATTTTCTCATAGGGACTGGGATTGTTCTGTGTCTAAAAACTGTTTCTTGTGTTTTTTTTTTCTCTTCTCCCCTCCTCCCCCATTACTTTTAAGCAACTGGGAGCTGAGAGCCTAAAGAAGAAGGCTCTCTTCATGGGCAACTGTGAGACTTTATACATGGTGCTGGGCCAGGCCCTGGGGATGAAGAGCAGCATCCTGGCCCCAGGAGCTAGTCCCCTTGGCATCCACGGCATTGTCACAAGGGCCACTGCCTGCAGAAGCATCCAGGAGGCTGTGTCTATTGAACACCTTCATGAGAAGTGGACAGCAAAAAGAGAAAGCCGGAGAAAGAGAGTGACATAAGGGACTTCTGCCCAGAACACGTGTCACACAAATCTGGGTACTTTCAGAAAATACAGACATTTAATAGGAATTGTTCTATTTTTTTCCTACATGGATCAAGACAGATTTCCCATTTCCTGTTCATTTGCGTAAATGCTTGGACGGTTTCTTTTAAATATGACTGCCATGTCAGGGTTAGGTGCAGAGTCAAATTAAATCGTTTATTTGAAAAATTGACATCATGTCAACATTAGCCATGAATATGTATATTGTTTAAAAACATTTAACAGTTTAGCTGACCTATAACTTCAGGTGGCTCCCGATGAAGGAGATAAATAACCAATTATATGGGAAGTTAAGGAACTTAGGGGAAAAGGCAAGAAAATGTAAGAGAATGGAAATCAAGGTAACCCAGTGGACACTTCATGTCACCACTGAGGGTCATTATTGGAAATAGGATGCCTCTGCTCATCTTAATCAGGGATGCAGGCTGAGGAAGCTATCGCCATTTCGTGTTAAAATAAAACCAGGTTAGTCATTAATTTAGCTTAATTATTCATCACTGTGGAGACACTTTTTCACTATGTAAACGGCTTACCCCTGAGCCTCGTTCCATGTTTTGGTCTGAGTGCTCCAAGGTTGCAAACTGTCTTTTAGTGTGTGCACAATACATTTTTACCAGTAATTCATTGGCTTTACTTTGGCTCTTTCTGAACCTTTGGCATTGGAAAGTTGCCTGTTTCTGGGCCAGAGGGAAAAAAGCTCTGGAGCGCCTCAAAGTGGCAATTAATTACAAGCTGTGTCTGAAAGTAACCGGTCCCATCCACTTTCATCTCATTGATCCGGGGCCAGGAAGTATAGTCCCACTGAGTTCGCAGAAGGAGTAAAATTGGCAACGTTTGGTGATGCTTAATGACTAAGCATCAGTAAACACCCATTGGACAAATGAATCAATTGGAAAGAGTAGGTTAGAGGTCATTTGATGAAGTCTTATCTAGTGGAAATAGAGAACAGGAAGGAAAAGGAGCCGGGAGTCAGTGACTAATCAGATGTGCAGGGCGTGAAAGAGCAGTTTGATTTTCAGTGTGGAGGAGTGCAGGAAGGGGTGACACACACACACACACACACACACACACACACACACACACACAGAAAGGCCGGCATCTGGATGTGTGCCTACGTGTGTGGTTAGTAGAGTGCAGCTGAGACACCTACATTTTCTCACCCTTTGCTGGGTAAATCTGCAATCGCGGCTTCAGGCCCTTTGCTTTGTATACAAACTGTTTTCCTTTTGTGCCGAGGCGCGGGGACCCGTTTGGAAATCAGAATTGGTCGCGTTCTGGGGGGACGGCCAGACCCGCCGCAGGAACTAGGATGTGAGGCGCTGGACGCGGATCGCCTCCCAGCATTTCCTAACATACGGTTACGTCCCTTTCGCGGCGGAGAGAATCAGGAGTGTCTGGAATGCAGCTCCGCTGGGTCCTCTGGGCCACACCACTGCTGAGCCTCAGCTCCTTCGGTTGTAAAAGCTGAACACCACCGACGCCGAGTTTGTGAGGATTCGGGGGGAAGGGCCAAGGGTCCGAAGACCTACCGATAGCGCGCACACCACACACCCGCCACCCCACCCCCCCCTCGCACCTGCCGGGGCCTGAGAACCAAAGGAGGGCACTGGGGGTGCGGACGGGAATGGGGATGGGAGTGGAGTTGGGGCTGGGGCTGGGACTGAGCCCCGCCCCTTTGCCGCGCAGAGAGATGACGTCACGCCAGCCCCTCTCCACTCACCTGGAGCGGCCGGCAGCCGGAATAAAACCAAAAACAAACAAACAAAAGAAAACCACAAAAAACAAAACTGGACTCCGTTGGCGGCTCGCGCGAAGTGATGACGTCACTCCGCCCGCGGCCCCCGCTGCGCGCTGACGTCACCCCGCGGGCGTCCTTGCCCGCCTGGATTCTGACGCTCGTTAGCGAGAGGGCCAGCGCGTGTGGAGCGCGGCGGGGCTTCCTGAAGTCGGTGTGACACCAGCCGGCAGGGAGCGTGGCTTTGGGGTCCCGTGTCCGGAACACGGGGCGCCAGGGCCGACGGCGGCGCTGGGACCGCCTGCAGTTGGGGTTGGGTAGCTCCCCAGAGCAATGTAAGTGCGTCCTCCCTGAAGGGATCGCGGAGGAACATGACCTCTAATCCAAACTTCTTTAGTTAGTAGTTGAATTTATTGGGGTGACACTGGTCACCACAATTATACAGGTTTCAGGTGTGCAGTGGGCACATCATCTGTCCACTGTATCGTGTGTTCACCACCCAGGTCAAGCCACCGTACATCACCATTTATTCCCCCTGTGCCGTCTTACCGGCTTCTTTATAGAGTTGTACACATGTTAGCCGCTACTCATTTTCCATTCACTATACACCCGTGCCACACGTTAAAGATTAGTTGTTTTAAAAAGGTAAAGTCACAGATATTTTTGTATGCAAATAAAAAATGCACATGTGTCAGAGTTTAATTCATTAAAGACCATAAAGTTTGTAAGGTATTCTGAAATGAATTTACATCTTTCCTTCCCTGATCAACAAGTTTTTTGGTTTTTTTTTTTGTTTTTTTTTTTACTCAACTTTCAAAATTGGATTCCTCGTCTCCATTTTCACAAACACTATCTCAGTCTGAGCAGAAATTATCTATGGATCGGACCACAGCCTTCCAACTGACTTCACCCCCAAGCACCTCCCCCAATTAGCCTTACCTCCCAAATCCATTCTCTACACAGCTTTCAAAGTGATCAAAACAAAACAAATCAAAACAAAAAACAACAGTAAGTATAATCTAGATTATGTTGCTCTCTTTCTTAAAATCCACCAATCGTTTCTCCTTTGCCTGGAGAATTAAATTCACACTCCTTATGCTTGCTTACAAAGAACTACTACACGGTTTTTTGTGCCTCTTCATCTACCTCATCTGACACTTTCTGATTCTCTCACTGTGCTTCAGGGCCCTCTGCTTGGACAAGGGAGGGAGAGCACACGCTGGGACCTTTCGTTGTGAGGGTTTTTAAAGGCTGGAGGCTTAGGGGAGGTCTTGGAGAGGATCTCAATAGAATATTCATCATTTTATGCTGATGCACCAAAATGAAATTCCCTTAACTTCATCTGTCCTTGGGTGTGGTTGGCACAAATGGCACTAATTGGGATTTGTGCTATCTACCTTCCCGAGTAGGGTGATTCAGCTATTTATCCTCTGGTTGGGGAGA